CTGCCGATTGTTCGCTTTATTTCCTGAAAGGATTACTAACTTTCATGATAACCGTGAAGGGAGTAGCTTATTAGCTCATTTGTTTCCTGAATTTGTTTTCTCAATTCTAAATCTAAATTATTTTTTTCTAAATCGGCAATTTGAGTAAACAAACCCAAATTAATACAATCATCAAATTTTCTTTAATTTATTCGATGATCATTATCTGTGTTTAGGACTGAACTGTCGAAGGTATCCGAAAATTCAGCATGGCAATCGTTCGTTATGGGAACTTACTGGGCTTCTGCGAAACTTGTCATCTTATTTGCTATACTATGCTATCTAATCAGCGGTTATCAATTGTCTGCTGAACGCATTTTTGTCGCTGTAAGCATTTTTTTTTTCAATTAGATACATTTTGAACAATACTGATATCATACTTCTATCAGGTGTCGTTTCATTGCAGTGTAAAAAATCGGTGGAATCAGTGCATCTAGTAGATTCCGGGAGCTTCATTAAACTGTAATCAAGCAACCTTCAAGTCTAGTATTTTATTTTGAAACTTTAGTCATCTGGTAATTCCTTATTGGCATTTGAAATTTATCGCTGCTGTGCTGGAATCAAGTGAAGCTTCTTGTTTCATAATCGCTTACCTTCTTTGCATGCTTTCTGATGGTGCCCTCTTTTGAGGGTTGCTTACAAACAAGCGAGTGATGGGTATGACTTCTTGGCATGCACCAGTACCAATTTACCATCGAAACGAATGAATGAATCGTTGAGAGGATGGTGTTGTCTTACCGGCGTAGTCGAACTCTCCACCTATTGCAAGACAACAGTGCTACTTCCCTTTGCACCATTTCAGATTCATGAGAACTAGAATCGCTTCTGAGACTGAATCAAGTTGGACGTTCTTTTTTTTTTTCAGGCAGCGCTATACAATTCATCACGGTTGCCCATTGCTTTGTTTCTGCCATTCGCTTTTCAAAGCATTTTTGAATGCCGTGTTTCACTGTCGCGTCTGCAAAAATTCCTGGAATTAGAAGAATATGACGAAAGCGATACGACAGACAAGATTATTGCTGATGGCATTGCCAATGATGAAACTCACAATGAAAAGGTTTTCTCACTGCACTTTTTATTGTGATATTTTTCTCCCTAAAATCTTTAATTTTCTCTTTGGATGTATTTGTTGGACTCAGGCAATGTGATCAAGTTTTTTTGGGAGAAGGTGGTCAACTTTGTAATTTTCGATTTTTGAAATCAAAGGGCATTTCATGAACTTATAGGATTAGTATGAGATAACCAATCCCACTACGATTCGTTAATTTATTCCGATGGTAACTTTTACTTACGCATACCGGCGGACCAAAACTGCAATCAGCTTGTTTGTAAGCAAACACTGGAGGAGGAAATCATCGACAGTCTTGCCTACGCGAGGTTGCTGTTTGCACTCAGACTACTTTCGATTGTCTCCTCTTCTCAGAGAAAATGAAAACGGTGGAGATTTGGACTTCGACTGTGATCAAATATCTTGCTGTTTCACCCTTCAAATTATTCCTTTGTTTCTGTAAAATTTTTAAGTGTGGACGACTAAAATTCTTTTTTTCGGAAAAAAACTTTTTCATCTGATATTCAAAATATAGTTCCTGGCAGCGGTGGACATCGATCCATCATTGCAATTATGCTTACTGTTGTGATAACCGGATTGAGCTCTGATGAACCAAAGTGCTACAGTATCCAGTTGTTGCTTTTGGTACACTTCTACAATGCAATGTTTTTTTCTTGTCATTCTTGCGTTAAATGTTTTCAGATGCCGCTACTCAAGGTGAAGTCAGAAAGCTCGGTTTCCTCCATTTCAGACGATGAAAAGCCACTTGTGGAATTAATCAACTATTCATCCACATGGAATGCCCAGGTTTTGCTTTTTGGAGATTTGATTTTCAGCCCGTTTTTATGAATATTTTAGTTTTTTCGCCTGTTGTACATTTTTATCAAAAAAAAAAGTAGAAATTTCAACTCTGCAGTAGAGGCTGTATGCTGTGTTATAATAGTTGAAATTTTTAGGCCAACTAATCAAATTTTGCTCATTTTGGGGAATTTTTGCGCTTTTTCGCCCAAATTCAATTTTCCGCCCTTAGCTAAATTTTCTCTTGAGTAGGCTGACTCATTTTTTTGCACTTTACTTTGAACAGATAATTTTGTTTAGCGGTTGGGCGAGAAAGTTCGTATTTTTATCTACTTTCGATCAACTATGCCGTTAAGAAAGTCAGAAATAAAATCCGAATTCTTTGGCAATTACGTTTTTTGAAAAGTGACGCATTCAAAAATAGCCCCTTTGGTACCACAGTGCTAACAGCACTGTCCATTGACAGGGTCATCCCCTCCCCGTTTCTTCCGAAAGTTGTTTGTAAGCACGTGCGCTAGTAGTAATTTGTTGTCGAAACAAATAATGTTTTATTGGGTGACAATAACGAAAATGCTTCTTTAACATTTGCCTAGTCTCTACATTCAGTTGCTCATTGTATATATGACGAAACGCAAACTGCATCCAAACATGTCTTCTTGCACACGATACCTGCATTGATCCCTTTTCTCCTACTGTATTGCTTCGTTGCAAAATAGATCAGATATGTTAAAAAAATCTTAAGAAAAATATTTTAAAAGTGTTATTTTTTGTTTGAGCTTCCAAATGTTTGTTTGGAATTTGAGCCTGGTCATGTGTCTGGTCAAAAAAAATCTTAAAATGTTTGTTTGGGAATTCCATTTGAGCCTGGTCAACGGAAGAATTGTTACCTTACTGTGATTGTTCTGCATAGTAGTGTAGTTATGTTTAGACAGTATAGTAATACTAGTATTGAGTAGAAATAATAATATGTGCTTTTGTTATTATATTTGAGTGTAGGTTAGGTGTTTGCAGAATCCAGCGCATGAGGATGCAACTGTTCTTCGAAATATTTCATTATCTGTTCGAAGGGGTCAGCTGGTGGTCATTGCCGGAGCTGTTGGAAGCGGGAAGGTATTTTTCCTTTTGTTCGCCACTAATTTTTTGTATTTCACAACTGCAATTTATTGAATAAATGTGCATGTTCGTTTTTATATACTTGTATTTTTATTTTTGTTTGTATTTATCTGCGTCTTATTTTTTTGCCCATGTGATATTTGTCTGCGTTTGTTTTGTGAGCATGTGTTTGTATGTATGTGTGTTCATATACGCGTGTACGTATGTTTGCGTCCGTGTGTTTGCGTATGTGTCTGTGTGTTTGTTTACGTGTATGTTTATATTTTTACGTACGTGTGTTTGTGTGATCATGCATGTTTGTTTATGTATGTAGTTGTTATACGTGTGTGTATGTATGTTTGTGTATGTGTATGTGTGTGTGTGTGTGTGTATGTGTGTGCGTGTGTGAGTCTTACTTCCACTTTTTCATGCTCCCACAGATTTTTTTGATGTAGATCTTCTACTTCTGCTATTTTCAGTCGTCACTGCTGCTTTCAATTCTACGTGAAACACAGCGAACCTGGGGTAGTCTTCGGACTAGAGGTCGCGTAGCATACACTTCCCAGGAAGCATGGATTTTCCCAGGCACAATACGTGATAACATTCTTTTTGGAAACCCTTATGTGAAAAGCCGCTATGACAAAGCAGTGGAAATTTGCGCCTTGAAACAGGTTTCATTTGACTTTTTTTCATCTCCGATTTTTTTCCACCTCTGGTCGGCCTATGCCTAAAGTTTTTGGCCATCACTGGTCAATGCAGGATGATGTAGAGTTAGGGACTCTGTAATAGCAGTGAAGAAAATTATTACGCCTAACTCTTCCATACGAAAAACGGGTATCAAATTTAAGAGTTACTGTGTCTAATCATCAGAAACTGTGGAAATTGTTATTTAAGTAGAATTACAATGAGGGAAGGTGGAGAACATGGAAGATGAATGAACGAAAAGGGATTGTGAAGCTAAGGACATGTGAAAAGAAATCGGTTTTCGTGTTTGAGTACCCTGTAAAAAAAGACCTGTGAAAAAATCCTGTCTATGTTTCATCCCATAGCTGTAAACACAGGCAGCAGTTAGATGCGGATAGGAGCGAGAATCATCAGTATAGCCCCCTTTACTTAGCATGTGCATTAAGTGACATGAAGAGGCACATTGACAGAGCGAAAGCTTATCAAACTATTTAATTCTACACTAACTTACAAATATTGCACATGTTTTTTCTTGCAGGATTTCTCGCAGTTACCATTTGGCGACAAGTCGAGCGTCGGTGATCGTGGCCAATCGCTAAGCGGTGGTCAGAAAGCGCGAATAAGTTTAGCTCGGACAATCTATCAGGATGCTGATATTTATTTGCTGGACGACCCTCTGTCTGCTGTTGATCCGGCCGTCGGGCGATTTTTATTTGATAGGTATGCATTACTAATTTGCTTACTTGTTTCGCGAGACATCCGAGTGACATCACTGATACGGGCTGCTTGTCCAGTTTTGGCCTTCTTTGTAATTTCATGTCAAACGTTAGGTAAAATAACAAATATGAAGTTTATGGGAGATTTTTAGGCAGTAACAATACTTGCAGATGTATAAAGAAACACCTGAGATCGAAAGCGACCATACTGGTAACACACCAGGTACAACATCTCCAAAGTGCCGATTTGGTAATACTTATGCGTGGAGGTGAAATCGTTGCTTCAGGAGACTTGGAGGAGCTCAAACAAACGCAAATTTACAACGAAATCATTCAGGTGCGTTTCTTATTTTAGCTACAATTTGTCATCGAAATTTCAGAGAGTAAGCATATCGTCAACGAAAAGTACAAAGGCAAGGTAGTCAGTGTAGTGAAAGGATCCGTTTGAACGGTTGTATAAAATTAGTTGTGTAAGAAAGATCTAAAACAGAAAGGCATGAGGAAGTTATCAAATACACTAGTAACGAGAAAAAAATAATAGGAGAGACCATAGAAAATACTGGGGTTTTTCTTTTGTTTTTAAAATTAGATACAGACAGCCTAATTTTTTTGAGATCTATTTAAGAATGTGTGTGCTCAACTTTATGTGCTACAGTTTACCACACAGCTATGAGTGGAATGAAAATGAGGATTGTGAAGAAAATTATGTTATTATTGTAGGAGACCGAAAAGTCGTACAATATGCAACGAACAGAATCTGAAGGTGGTGCAAACGTACGTTCGATAAAATTCTCGATTTCGGAGGGAACCGATAACGTGTATTCAAAAAGTACTATTTTCTGAGTTTTGTACAGTCATGCGAAATTATTTAGCTGATCAGTAACTCCAAATTCTGGGCTAATAAAGCTTGGATAGGTATTAACAACGGTGAAACGGCAAAGATTGCTAATGGGGGGGGGGAGGGGGGGGCTAATTGTGAGATCTGGAAAAGAGGGAAGAAAAAAAAAAACGCAACTACTTGCGCATAGTGCTATTGGTCACTTAATGTTGTAGAGAGTATTGAATAATGAAAGGATAAAGCGATTAAAAAGTCAGATATCCTCATTTTTTGATAAAATCGCATAGATATAGTTGCGCTATAATTTATTTGCTTACTTATAATTGTGCTATAGTTAATCGTAAAGTTGAAATATCAGAAAATAAGTTATCGTATATTTAATCAGCCTTTTTCAGATGATTCTTTGAATGATTTGACGCATTCTCGCCTAAGCTTACCAAGTCCTTCAATATCTGCTGGAAGTTATTCACCAATCGCAGGAAAACAGGTAATTAGGAATTATGCTTTCTCTGTCGTGTAGGTCACTTTCGCATGCTGCCAGAATTTTTATCAGTAGTTTTTTTTTTATATTTCTTTTAACATCAAACATTAAGAATGTAAAACATGATATGAAATTCAAGTACCAAAATGCAACTGCCTCGTTCTTTTACGTTTTTATGTTCGAGAAAAATCAGTTTTTAATTGGCACCCGTGGGCCTAAAAAATACTTGGCTCTAATTTCGATACTTCAAGTACTTGGAGCAGCTGTTGGTCCATGATGTGGTTCTCCGTCTTTGCAGCCATCAAGTTTTCCAGTTCCAGTATTGATTGCTCTGAGCATTATTTATGCGTAGCCGCGCTAGTCAGTCTGCTGGCGTTCCTGACACTCATTTTTTTTTTACTAGCACTTCTTTCGACAGAAGCATTTGGCAAGGCTTTAAACATTTCAGGATGTTCAAAGCGCGCACCTTGTCCCGAAGTTTTGCAGTTGTTAGGCTACGATGGATACTTTTCTGACTATTGGGACAGATATGGTTGCTGTTCTCCAGTAAATACCATAAGATTAGCAATCCTGAAATCATTCAAAGAGAAATCCGTTTACGTTTCTAATTAAATTCAATAAACCATGCACTTCCGTTATCTCGTTTTAGGAAGAGGAGTTACCGTATGTTGAAGAAGATCGCGCACAGGGAGCTGTTCCATGGCGAGTTTATTTTTTGTATATCAGAGCGATGGCCCATCCGTGGATCCTTGCCTTACTGATGATTTTGTTTGCTGCTACTGTACAAGCATTCACAAACTTTATTGATTGGTGGTTGAACAAATGGTTAGTTTTTCTCCATACATTTCGCTTCAGGTTAATAATTTTTGGGATTTTAAAACTGTGCGGAGTTACAAATCGAAGTTTCCTACATTTATATTCTGAAACTGTTATGAAGTGCTTGCGAGCAGGCGTGGCACAGTGGCAAGTAGCGTTATTTTACTGCTTAAGCTCGAAGGTTGGATTACCAAGGTGTAGTCAGCCGTGTTTATTCACTGCTTTCGATGGTAAATCAGCTTGTCTCTAAACAACTCTTGAGAAATGGGACTACGGACAGTCTTTCTAACGAGGCGATTGTGGTTAACATTTGCTGAACTACTTCAAAGCGCCACCACATGTTAATGAAGATTATTATGGATAAATTTTTACTTTTTTTTGTTTTGCCCAAGTGGTTGTTCAGTCAGCTGACAGACTTACATGCAAGTTTGCTGCCTCTCGTCCTTCTCCACAGCGCCTTTTACCTGCGAGGGTGCTAAACCTCACTTTCGTGATAAGCGGAAGACATCACTTATCATCGAGTTATTTTTATAAGTATGAAAAAAATCATTGGAGCATCGATCGAAGAGCACTGGAGCATCGACATTTCTGCCAGAGAAAAGTGTAGTGAATATGTTTCGTGGAATTCTCCCATTTTTTGAGAATTTAGGACGAATGCTGCTGAATTGGCCACGAAGCAGTATGAGAAGGCCGAACGACATGCGGTTCATGAGGAATACGTTGACCACCTACAGCTCGGTCCTTTCACATTCAGGGAAACTCTTACGGATTATCGAAACGTTTTTATTGCAATGGTCTGCACATTGGTTGTTGCATCCATTATCAGGTACCACTCTAATTTACTAGTACGTTTTGCAGTTTAAGAATTTGAATATCAGGGTTTTCTGATCTTGCAATGATAAACGATCTAGCGTCGAACGTATCATTCTGATAAATGGAGGGGATCGCCTAGGATTTGATATGTCCTAGTCGAAATCTTTTGCTTTTGCGCATAAATCTATTATTTCTGAAACCGATTTCGTGCTGACGAACACAACCAGTGTTTTTTGCAGCTTCTGCGCTACTGTTTCTAAATTTAGCGTTCTTTTAACTAAATTTTGAAATTTTTCAATCATATCTGGCAGAATGATCCTGAATCTCCTGACTCTCCAGTCATTTATAGCGATTTTTCAAGTTGTAGATTTTGGCCCCCTCTTTTTAGCAATTTGTTGATAACAGTTTTGAAGTTATCATTTTTTAGCGATTTTTGAAGTTGTTGATTTCTCTTTTCGTGAATAATTCACTGATAGCAATAGTCTTGCGGATGTGAAGTTCGAGAAGGTTCGAATATTTGACCGAAACACATTACTTCGGGAAAGATCGGTCATTCGAACGGTCTCGGTATACCGGTGAAGAATAGTACTGATGTTTTACTATTTTAGGGTACTGATCAGATGGTGCTTACCTATTTTGCCATAGCTGCTGAGACTTCTTTTTTTATACTCTTGAAATTGGCGAGATGCGAATATTGCTTGCTTTAACTTTTTCTCTACCTATTTTTCGAGTTCCAGAAAATGCGAAAATTTCGAAAATCCGTGTCTAGGAAATCGAACTTTTGGGGATAAAGCATGTTGAGCTGTTCTTTACATTCACTTTCAGAGCGTTCTGGTTCCGACTTACTCAAGTGACAGCTTCTCGTGTGCTTCATGACATGATGTTCCAGCGAGTTGTTGGCACTCGAATTATTTTCTTCGATAAAAATCCAATAGGTAAATTTATCAGCCAAAAATTACCGCAGGCTGTTGGTTTATGGCAGAATTATTTTCTTGGCTTCTTACTATTGTGAGCAAAAAACTGTAGCTTTTCAAATCCCTGGCGCTATTCGCTTACTCGATCTGATTTGACAAGCGAATAAGGATCGAAATATCGTTTTCTCGTTTACCTTCATATTCTCCATTCGCCTTCATCACAATCTGATAACTCGCAACTCGTGGAAGCTCCTTATTCATAAAGTGCTATCTCTCAATCTATTGGTTTTCAGGTCGCATCTTGAATCGTTTCTCGAAGGATATTGGAACTTTGGATGACCAACTTTCTTTTTCATTTTTCGATTTCGCAATGGTTCGTATTTAACTGTTTCATCTACATTTTCTACATTTTTTTAAAATAACTAGTTTGTAAGAATATTCGGGAATTTTGATCTGTAAAGATTCTCAGCACTTCAGACATATTGAAAATAACTTCCAGTAGAGAACTCATAAATATACGTTGGATCTAATGTTCTTGTCACGCGTCATCATATCCCCAAAGAGGTTTTAAGAAGTTTACAGACTGACTGCATCGTGAAATGTCTTCTTATGCATGACATCTAATTCCAATCTTCTTACTCCACTATTTAACTTCTCAGCTCAGCTGGGCCTCAAAATTGCTTTTCTGCTCGTATTTATGTGGATGGTCGCTTCACATATGTGAACTAACATATGTGCAACATATATTCTGCCATGGGAGCGAGGGAGCTGGAATCCCGAAATTTCACATCTCTGACTGTTATCCTCGCTATGTCTTCGAAACGGTCCTCATAGGTAGCACAGGGGCAGTACACGAAAAAAGGCAGTTGTATCCCGATCTGGTTGTTTAGTAGAGATAGTCTTAGGTACATTTCAGTGACACCGATAACTCTATTCCGCTGGGTTTGCATACTTCAACAGCCCCAGAGGCAATGGTTTATTGTATCTTTGTGTTATATGTTATAATTTGGCGACTAAATTAATCATTGGCGACGCGCATTGGGGGGCCTTGTGCGATCATGCGTTTTTGCAGTGTTTCGTGCTGTAATACGATTACTCGAAATTCCGCTAGCTAGA